GTCCATAGGCTGCGTGCTGTACGAGCTCTTCACGGGCCGCATCCTGTTCCCGGGCCGCACCAACAACGACATGCTGCGCGCCATGATGGACGTCAAGGTGGGGGGGAGGGGGCGGGGTGAGGGGGTGCTGGGGGCGCTCACGTAGGGCTCAAGGGGGGGTGCGCTCCCCCCCCTGAGGGGGAAGCGGAGGGGCTGCGTGTGGAGTGGGGTTTGTGAAGATGAGGGTTTTGAGAGGGGCGTCTGGGTGGAGGGACGTGTGGGTACTGAGCGGAGCGGGAGGCACCAGGGACAGAGGGCGGGGGGAGTGGCCTGCATGCGGCGGCGCACCCAGGGATTTTGGTGGGCGGGGGTCTCCGCTTTGCGGGCTGCCTGCAGGGTAGCGTGGCGTGCGGCAGGGCGAGTCCCTCCGTCCGCAGGGCGGCCGCGCAGCACCTCGGCGCCACCCCGGATGCGCCTCCCATGCACCGTGAGCGCATCCGGGGCAGCGCCGCCGTCCTTAGGCAGCCCCCTTTCAGCCGCGGACCCCCTCGCCAACTCGTGCACGCAGCACCCTCCCTTCCCTTCCCCTGCCTCACCCCACAAAACCCTGGGCCCTACCCCCCTGTGCCGCCGCTCCCAGGGCCCCTTCCCGCGCAAGATGCTGAAGAAAGGCATATTTGCTGAGAAGCACTTTGAGGACGACGCCAACATGAGCTTTGCGCTGCTCGAGGAGGACCCTGTGACTAAGATGCCGGTGGGGGGGGGCGTGAGTTTTGGTGGTGGGGATGGGGGCGCACGATGCGCATATGTTTGACGCACGTGTGCAGCTTGTGTTGGTGTGGGTGTGAGCATGATGGGATGGGACGTTCGCGTGTGCATGTGCGGGTTGTCGTGTGCCTGTCCAACCTCGAGGGCTGCGCATCCGGCGTGTAATCCCCGGGACCAGCTTTCTGTCAAGCAGCATTGTGTGGTGTGGTGGCGGCCGTGGACAAGGCTGCGGCGACAGCGAAGCTGACATTGCGCCTGCCGTCACCTCGGCCTCACAGCTGACCAGGTCATGCGCGAGCACGCACAAATGCGAGCACACTTCCACATGCACACGCATGCATTCACGCACACATACATGATGCACATGAAACACACACACTTGCAAACACCCGAACTCCCCCCGGCCCCGCCGCCCAGGTGCGCCGCCTCATCCCCAACCCCACCGTGAAGAACAGCTTCGCGCAGCTGCTGTCGCGGTCCGAGGGGGACCGCTCCAGGGTGGCGGCCCTGGCAGACCTGCTGGACAGGATGATGGCGCTGGACCCAGAAAAGAGGATCGACCCCGACGCGGCGCTGCGGCACCCCTTTGTGCGCGACTACGTGCCCAAGAAGAAAGGCGCGGCGGGCGGCGCCGGCGCCGGCGCGGCGGCGGGGGAGTGAGCGCGCGCAAGGGAGCGGGCGGGATGTACCGCCTGTGTAAAGGGTTGACGTATCGTCCGCAAGGATTACGCCCCGGCAGCCCAAGAATTTTATTCAAGCCTTTGACCCCAACATCGCGCCACGACTTTCAGCCAGGGCAGGGGCGCCAACCCAGCCACCGACGCGGTTGCCTGCGCCCCCGTTGGTAGCGGCTGCAGGGAAGCCCCGCAGCGGCCCAAAGCTGGCGAACCGGTCTGGCCCGACTGGCAGCGAATCGCACGAGGCTGACCCCCGCAAAGGATGCCTCACTTCTGTGCTGATCACGCATATCATGGGTGGTGTCTCGCGCTGGTATGATGGGGTCCACCAGGGAACGCTCGTGAACCAGGGGGACATGAATGGGCCTGCTGCACATAACCAAGGTCCAGAGGCAGGGGACGCTGTCACTGCTTCATGCGTCCAGAGTTTTTGAGGGGCTGCAGTCACGGAGGCGGCGCCGTGCGGGCCTAAACACGGACGCAGCTGGGTGCCTAACCGCGTATGGGGGGGGCACAGGCGGGAGGCCTGAGCATCACAGCGCCAGGCCGGCACCCGGCGCACCCGGTTGTGACCTCAGCTGCAGGTGCGCCGGGTGGGGTGGTTGGGAACTGTGGAAGCCACGTGACCGATGCCTGGATCCAGGACCCATGGCCAAAAAGATGACGCACCTCAACGCCTGGGGTATCATCTTCGTTGCTGTGCAAAACGATTTGGCAAGGCACGACACAGGAGGATGCAAGAGTCACTAGTGACGGCGGCTGCCGCGCAGCGCCGCTGCAGCTGCTGCGCGGGCTGTGACACAACAGCCATACCAGGGCGCGCAGATGTGTATTCTCATTTTCTTCAGTCTTCGATCCCGGGCTGTAGCTTCAGCAATCGCGAAACAGTCAAACCTGCGAGAGTGCATCGCACGTGACGTGGATCGGTGAACCATTTAAAAAACTATATTCTGCGGCTAATACTAGTGGGATGCTGAGATTAGGCATGGGCATGAGATCCGATACAGCAAGTGACCTTTCCGTGTTTCGCGACCAGGTCTTACAGGTTTGCCACCTTGGCTGCTTGAATTTCTCTGCTAGTGCATCGTCTGTCACCACGTCCACCCGGTCTCGCCGGGCCTTTCGAGTGGAGCCCGTGGTGTGCCGCACCAGGACACCTATTTATACCGGGAGGCCAATAAGACAAATCAGGTTCTCTTCTCGCAACGCAGGCACTGCCTGCAATGCATGCAGCGATGCCGGCCGGGCTGGTTGGCGACGGCGGGGAGGCACACCCTGGAGCAGCCGTGCTGGCAGGGTTGGGCCAGAAGCAGGATGTGCACATTCATGGTGAGGCTGGGATGGGTCGGCCCGTATGGAGCGTGTTGTAAGATCCAAGGCCCACAGGCTTGCCACTGGCTCGATCCTTACCGGCTGACGCTCCCAATCACCTGCCCTTTACCCCTTGAAGGCTTTGCTGTAGCGCCCCCTCCCCTCCACCGCTGCGCCGGCACCCACTCCCCTTCACCCGCCCGCGCCTCTACTCACCCCGCCCTTGCGCCACAAAGTGCACCTCCATATGGACAAAGCAGGTGCGAACACCAAGATGGCGCTGTGCGCACCGGCCGCCGACCATGCCAGCCGGTCTGTCTGCCCAATCATGTGCCGCACCCACCGCGTCGCCCCGCCCCTTGCTCACCCCGCGCCCACCACGCCGCCCCAAACACACATCAGCGCCCACAGATACCCGCGTCACTGCGGCATCCGCCACTGGCTCGGCCGCGTCCGCGTCGTCGGCCCCCGCCCCAAACCAGCCCAAAGCGTTCTCACCAGAGGATGAGTTTTCGGCCTTCACGCAATTCGGCCGCACTCGGGAACACCTAGCGGCGCCCGCCCCCGCCGCCGCTGCCACCGCAGCAGCCGCCGCCCCCGCAGCCCGCGGACAGCAGCAGCAGATCACCCAGGCGCCGCCCCTGGACCGGCGGCGGTCTGACGCGGGCGGCGGGCGGCCCTGGTGGTCCTTCCTCGTCTGCGGTGCTTGCGGGCCCGCGGCGCCGGCGCCGGCGCCGGCGTCACTCTCTTTCGAGCTGCAGCGTGAGTGGGCCCCTCGCAGCGTGCGGAGCCTGATGTCGTGCAGGCGGTGTTGGGGCGTGTGTTCGCGCCTGGCCAAAGCCGAATCGGTCGTCGGCCGGCCGTCATCAAGGCGTGTGGCCGATGTGCCTCACATGGTTTCGATTTGTCGGCCGTTCCCGCCTGCTCGGCGCCGGGCGCGGCCCTCCACCCACGCTTCGTCTCATTGTATGCCGCGGCCGCCGCGCAGAGCGCGACACCCAGCCAGATGCGGCGCCTGCCCCCGCGCGGCGGCAGCGCCGCGCGGCCAACAGTGCGTTCAGCGTGTACGGGGCGCCGCGGCGCAGCGCGCTGCAGCCCCTCAAGAGCACCTTCTCCGGTGAGCCTGCTGTGGTGGCTTGGGCTGAGGCAAGGGGGTCAAGCTGGAGGCGGCAATACATCAGGCCGTTGCGCGGCAGCGCGTGAAGTTGACAATGCGAGGCGCCGTCAGCCTTCAGCTGTAGCAGCAGCAGTGGCGGCGGCGGCAGCAGCAGCAGCAGCAGCAGCAGCAGGAGCCGCAGCAGCGGCAGGAGCCGCAGCAGCGGCAGCGGCAGCAGCACCAGCGGCAGCGGCAGCGGCAGCAGCAGCAGCAGCAGCAGCAGCGCAATCAAAGCAGCCGTATGCAGTCGCGCCGCCTCTGCAGCAGCACCCACTGTCAACTGCAGCTAGGCGGCCCCTTGCAGCGCGACGATGCAGAAGGCCAGCAGGTTTCCGCCACTGCCGACGCCCATGGGCTGCCGCTCTGCCCTCTCATGTCACAGTGACACGCGCGCGCCTGCTTGCCCCGCAGACGACCAGTGGTTTGACGCGCTGAGCGTGGCCGACCCGCACTCCGAGGCGGGCCGCGCGCTCAACGCCGAGCTGGAGGGCCTGATGCGCGACATGCCCACCATCGGGGAGGCGCCCCCCGTGCAGCAGCCGGGGCCGCATGTGCCGGACCCACCCCTCGAGTTTGCCAGCAAGGACTTTGTGTACATCCCAGTGCCGAAGCAGGTGCGGCGACACGCGCCGCGACGGCCCATGCGGCAGCCTCGGAGGACCCGCTCGCGTCCTGTCTGCAAACACGACGCGCGCCCCGACAGACTTGCCACGATGACGCCACGCCCCGCGTCACTTCTGCGCCTGCGGGCCGCCTCGCCGCCGCGCAGGTGCCCCACGCGGGCTACTGGATCAAGGACTTGTCGCGCACCACGGCCAACCCCCAGCCGATCGACGTGATGCTGGGCCTCAGCGGCATGGTGGCCAAGATGCACGAGAGCATACCCGGTGTATGGGTGCGTCGCAACAGCTGTTCCCTTCGGCTTCCTGGCACGCACATCGGGCGGGGGTTGGGGGAGGGGAGGGCCAGACGCTCCGTTGTCGGCGTGTATTGGGGCAGGCTGGCGAGAGTGCAGGATGCGGGTCCTCAGAGAGGTTTGGGTGGCGGCACAGCTGCCGCACCGTTCGTCAGGCGTCATCTCCCTTGCGCACACGTGGTATCAACACTTGCTTGCGCACGCGAACAAAGTCAGGCACATACGCGCGTACAGTATGCATGTGACTGCAACACACATGTGCATGTGAGCAACACACACACACACATACACACACACATGCGCGCATGCGCGCATGTCCGCACTTGTGGCCTCGCAGCTTCAAGACTCGCCAGAGACGGTCAACATGGTCTGTAAGCCGCGCTCGGTCCCGCTGGGCCCGCTGTCGCGCTACGTGGAGACCTTCAACAAGGACTGCTCTGACTCTTTCTGGAGCATGCGGCGTGACGTCAAGGTGGGGCGGAGGGCGGTTTGACGGCGCTGGCGGCCAAAGGGCTTGCCTGAAACCCTCGGTGTGGGTGGGCTCCGGCCGTGAATTGCAAGCGGGGAGATTGCCCTTGCCCCTGCAAGGTGTTGGCGTGATTGTGCGTATCTAGCACAGGCAGGCAAGCTTGCATGCAAGGCACGCGCTCCTGCACAGCTTGCACGGCTGCACATGCACACACACACACACACACACACAAACACACACACACACACACACACACACGCGCGCGCGCGTTCCATGCGTGCGCCTGCACAAACCAACACTCCCACCCACAACCATGTATGATGTTCACAACACACAGATGGGCCGCAGCGTGGGCCAGCTCTTCTACACGGCCTGCGGCACGCTCATATTCCGCGTCTACGCCAAGGGCCTGTGGGGGGACGCCGTGGAGTGGGTGTGCGAGGAGTACAGCCGGCTGGAGGACGACGAGGGCAACACCATCATCAGCCGCCAGTGCTGCAAGCACATGGCCAGCGGCAAGACGGCCACTCAGTACCTTGTCGGCGACTGGGCGGGCGACACGCCGCCGCCGGGCCACGTGTGAGGCGGCCTGCTTGGGGGCCGGCTGGCGGCTGCTGGCTGGACTGCGGCGGCTCACTGCCCGCGCCCCTGCAGCTGCTTGCATGGAAGATGGCCGGCACGGCTGGCCCAGGTACAGAAACACGCAAGAAAGACTGCTCTATTCGGCTCGCCGGCTATTGCGCAAGCCCGCACCGACCCCCCTGCTGTGCCGCGCAAGGATCTGCAATGCTATATTGCTTGTGCTCAGTGTGGTGTTTTGCTAATTTTTCTGGAACCAGGGTACGTGTGTATGTGAACCTTGCTTGGCTCTAGGGCTTGAAAGTCAGGTTTTCCCTGCCCATCGTATTCCCTCCGTGGTCATGTCTTTTGCTATCTGATCCATCCCTGCTGCTCGCATCCAATTTCATTCCTGCACGCTGATTGCCCAGTAAGGGTAATGCCTCCGACCCCACTGTTTCTTTGCAGCCGACATGCATGCATCATGCACACTTGGAGATCAAGCTCATGACCATTAGTCAGTGCTCTCCATCCTGGGCCGGCCAGCTGCTGACCCAACTGACTGTTGGCATGTGGTATCATATTGACTGCCCTGCAGGCCTTGACCGCTGGCTGTAACTCAAATGTGCTCCAGGATTTTGCCCACGCGGCAGCGTCGAGGGCGTCATATCAATGATCATTCGGCGCAGGTCATGCATGCAACGTGGCAAGGGGGACGGGGTGGCGGCCAGGGATGCGATGAAAGAGCGACGGCGTGCAAGGGCAACGGCCACCAGGGGCTGCCCTCGTAATGCCGTTGCGTGCGGTGCGCGTGCTCCAGCTGCTTCCAGCGTCGAACAACAGCAGGATAGCCAAACTGTATGACGCCAGTGTGACCAATGCGGCCGTGGGCAGGTGCTGCAACCACCCCTGAGGCTTCAACTTTGAGCAGCGGTGGTCCTTGCCTGCAGGAGACGCGCGGATGAGCGATCAGACATTTAAACCGTAATCGCGCGAGAACTATTCTTGCCTGTTGAGCTCGCAGTGCAGGCCATCGGTGCAGGCAATCGGTGTCTGCGCGGCCAGGTGATGAGCTTGAGCCGTGATCATCCCCAAAAATGTTTCAGGGCCGGGTGCAAATTTTATGATCTTACTTGCAAGCCTTTATCCTCTTCAGGAAGGGATCGGCGCACTCGGAGCGGGTCACTGGTGTCAAACCCCACGTTGCACCGCAACACTCTGGCTTTTACTCGGTTTGGGGTTCGCGGATAGGTTGCCTGACATTGGCCCCGCCCTCGACCAACCTGGGACACGGTTGCGACCGGCCAGTGACTGAGACTCGCTGCCTTGGCGTACAGGCTCGGCAAACATCAGAAGCCTCATCTGTCTGCGTGAGCGGTGCAGCGCTCCCCTTGCAACGCCACTGGGGAGGGAGCTGAAGTGATTCTTGGCGCGCGGCTCCTGCTGCGAACAGCCAGCCCGCAGGCGCTTTCATTGTCGTAAGCGACAGTGTATTTCAGCATCGATTTGCCGCTGTGTGCAGCAGCATGCTGAGCGGTGCGGCAGAGCGGTCGTGTTTCTGCTGGCCTGGTGACGTGCATTGCTGCATGTTGTGCGGTCCGCCTCGCCTCTGGGCCCAACTGTTGAACCCCCTCGCCCGCGCAGGCACACCGACGCCATGGCGTCGACGGCGGCCGCCCTGCCGCTGAACGGCGGGGAGGTACAGCCCACAGGGGCGGCCCCAAAGCGGCAGGCTCAAGACCTGCAAGTGGACGTGGCGGGTGCGCCCCCCACCCCCACCCACCACCCCAGGGGCGCGCGCGGACGCCGCCCGCCCTTGCGAACCCCCGCGAGCGCTGCGATCCTCTGACAGCGTCGCGCGTTGAGACTCCGCGGCGCGCTCTCGCGCGCGCCTCCCCAAACCGCGCCGCCAGCTCGTGCGTTCTAGCGGTGCGTCAAACGCACTCGCTTTCATCAACTGCCCCCCCACGCGCCCCCGGCTGGGCCCACCCAGGTACCCCCGACAAGCCCAAGGCGTTTGCTAAGGAGGACGAGTTCTCGGCCTTCACCCAGTTTGGCCGCACGCAGGAGCACCTGTCTGCACCCGCAGACGCAGGGAAGGCGCAGCCGGCCGGCGCGACGAGCCCAACCAGCGGGGCGCCGGCGGCGCCGGCGCCCGCGCCCGCGCCGCAGCCGGCCGACGAGCCGTCCGGCAAGCCGTGGTGGTCGGCGCTGGTGTGCGGCTGCTTCGCGCCGCCGCCGGCGCCCGTGGAGACGGGCTCGGGGCAGCTGCGGGGTGAGAGACCAGGGCGCACGGCACGGCGCGCTACCCTGCTGTGCTGTCTCGCAGCTGCGCGCCGCTGTGCTGTCCTCGGGGCTTGGCCCATTCAGCCTCTCACCTTCCATCTTCCTCCCCCTTTGCATGCACGGCCATCCCTTCATTCAATCAAATGCCCGAAGTGTGTACGAGAGGACTGGGCACCCCTCAATCATGGCTGCCCCCATGCACCGCCCGCCCCCCACCGCCACCTCAGCGCGCCGCACGATGACGCACTCGCTGGTGGGCGTGCCCCCGTCGACGACGATGCGGCCGCGCCGCACGCTGAGCAAGCAAGTCAGCATGTACGGGGGCGCGCGGCGCACCCTCAGCGCCGTCAAGAGCACATACTCAGGTGAGGCTACGCGGCGTATGCGATGCGCGTGGGCTGCGGGTGGCGGGGGCCGCGCTGCGCTCGCCCAGCCGGCAGCGCGGGGCGGAGGGTGGATGCGGCGGCCGCGGTGCAGCGCCGTGCCGCGCGGTGCGGTGCGCTGCTTGGTTTTTTCTCTTCCAGTCGGCTGTCAACTCTGATGGGTGTGATGAAGTGTGACCTTGGGGGACGGCCGCAGCCCCTGCGGCAGCGCCAGGAGAGTGGCGGCCTTGGGGCTCCCTGGGTGCTGCCCAAGGCGGCAGCGCCCCGCCCTTGGGACATTCGGGTGCACCGCCCGCACCTGCCCACACCTGCCCACGCCTGCACTGCTGTTGCTTGCGCTCTCACCACCACCAACACCACCTCCGCTGCCAATGGCTTGCCCCCACCCCCAATGGCCCCCCCTCAAATTCACTCACCTGCAGACGACCAGTGGTTTGACGCGCTGAGCGTGGCCGACCCGTACTCAGAGGCCGGCCGCGCGCTCAACGCTGAGCTGGAGGGCATGATGCGCGACATGCCGACCATTGGGGAGGCGCCTCCCGTGCAGGAGCCGGGGCCGCACGTGCCTGACCCACCGCTGGAGATGGCCAACAAGGACTTCATTTTCGTGCCCGTGCCCAAGGAGGTGCGTGAGCACGGTGGGGCGGGGAGCTGGGGTTTGGGGGAGCAGGGGCTGCGGCTGGGTGGAGAGAGGGGTTGCGGCGGCAGGCGGCCGCGTCAACAAACCCTGCTGCGGCAAGTGTCTGTGTGCGCATGCACGCATGCACGCATGGACACATGTGCGCGCAGATGCACGGCACCCACGCGCATACGCATGCACAGATGCACGCGCACACACACGCACACACGCACACACGCACGCGCGCACACACGCAGGCACGCGCACGCACACGCACGCACGCACGCACGCACACACACACACACACACGCGCGCGCGCGCACACACACACACACACATGGCACACACACACACGGCACACACACACACACACACACACATGGCACACACACCTCTCCTCAGACCGGGTTTGCGGGCTACTGGCTGAAGGACGAGGAGCGCACCACGCCCAACCCCCAGCCCATCGACCTCATGCTGAACTCGAGCAAGATGGCGCAGAAGGCCCACGAGACCATCCCCGGCATCTGGGTGGGTGGCTGTGGTGCTCGTGGTGGCGCGTGCACCCGCGGCAATGTGCATGTGCAAACACACATGCGTCGGTGCCGCGTGCACGCATGTGCGCAAGCACGCTTGCGGACGCACGAGTACATGTTGATTCAACTTCCGTGCTGCCGGCCCGTCGCTGCTTGCGGGTGCGCCTTCCCCTTG